GTTTTAGAAAAGAAAAACACACACACATATACACACAAAAGCTCTGAGGTTTGAAGTAGTTGAAACTTTAGAATATGTTTCTTTACATCTTAAAGGAAAAAAAGTGATTTCCAAAGTAGTGATCTTGGAAAACTCCCTCCCTAGCCCCAGGGTAGATTGCTAGGAGGTAGATAGGCAGCGGCAGAGCCCAGCAGGGGTTCAGCCTGGGTTTGGGTGAGCTGACTCAGGTCTCTCTAATGCTGGTGGGAGGGATGGCATTTGAACTCAGACACTCTAATAGGCTTCCGCGTATTCCCCGCAGGCCAGGTCAGAGGATGAACCCTGGTGTGACACCATAATTCTTATTCATGACTAAAAGAAAGTATGCATTTTATCACTGTGGCCTTTTAAATCAAGAATGCGGTGCTTTATGTATGGTGGACATCTAGGTATCTGTCACTGGGTTCTGGGGTGTGGTTTCCATGGGCAGAAGGATGTTCCTAGTAAAACTGTGGCCAGTGTAGTTTTGTTGTTTCCATTATCCTCTTCCAGCCCATAGCTGGGAGAGAACCATGAGTTTTTTAAAACATTGATGTCCTTGTATTAAACTATGCTTCAACCCTCTTCCACTAGCCCAAGTCTTCAGTAAAATTGGCCAGCCAAACCCAAAAAGCTGATATCACTTACAGGATATCAGCTTTCCTTAATGGAGTAAGGGATCAGAGTCCTGTCCAATTGGGTGGGGAGGGAAAGGAGTGAGTAGCAGTCACAGGAGGCAAGATTCAGAACAGAGATCTAAGGTGTCAAGAGATATAGGGTCCTGGAGACAACAATGACTCTATGAATGGTCACTGCTCCATGATTTGAAGGATAGATTAGGGGAAGTGTGCCATCCACAGTATACATGCTACAGGCTCAGCTGCTCTGTTCAATATTAAAACATGGGAGAACCCAGACTGCAGAACTAAGAGCTATCCAAGGAGCTTACACTTGGCTTACATGATTTTCTTGTTGTTGTTGTTGTTGATGTTATTGTTGTTGCTGTTGTTAATTCTCTAAGATAAGAAGTAGCTGGTGAAGGTAGCAGGAGGCAGAGTATAGGGATAGATTTGTTAAAGGATACAAAATTACAGCTAGATAGGAGGAATAAGTTCGAGTGCTCTATATAACTGTAGGATGACTATATAATAACAATGATGTATTATATAGGCCAGGTGCAGTGACTCAGGCCTGTAATCCTAGCACTTTGGGAGGCCAAGGCAGGTGGATCACCTGAAGTCAGGAGTTCGAGACCAGCCTGGCCAACATGGTGAAACCCCATCTCTACTAAAAATACAAAAATTTGCTAGGCATGGTGGCACGTGCCTGTAATTCCAGCTATTCGGGAGGCTGAGGCAGGAGAATCACTTGAACCCAGGAGGCGGAGGTTGCAGTGACCCAAGATCATGCCATTGCACTCCAGCCTGGGTGACAAGAGCAAAACTCCATATGAAATAATAATAATAGTATATCATATAGCTTCAAATTGCTATGAGGAGAATATTAAATGTCCCCAACACAAAGAAATAATAAACATTTGACATGATAGATATACTTATTACCCTGATCTGATCACTATACATTATTTGTATTGAAACATCACTATGTACCCTATGAATGTGTGCAATTATTATCTGTCAATTTTAAAAAACTAAAATTAAAAGAAATAAAAAGTAAAATAAGTAATGACTTAGATTGATTTACAGTTAGAATAAAATGTAGAAATTAATAGAAATTCATGTGGAAAAGCATGGCTCGAAGCCACTGAATATTTGACAATGTTGATGGCATTGCACTGGAACTATCCATGGGGACTCCCCTGAGGCATCGTCAACTGCTCTCCACCTGCCCAAAAGCAATGTGTCCTTACCTTGACCCAGAATCTTCCCCAGGAAACTTATTCAAGAGAAATGATCCAGAAGAAGGTGTATCCTTTGTGCATAATGATGTTATTCATAACAATAAGAGCTGGAAAGTACTTTAATCTTCAACATAAGGAAATGGTCAAATAATTATGTGTATCCAACTGATTAACTATTATTCAATAAAACCATTAAATAAGAAGACCACACAGCAACTTTTAAAATGTTAGGCTTCAATATTAAGTGGGAAAAAAGCTATGACTTTAATTACATAAAAATATTGCATTGTGTATGCCTAAGGATAAGAAAAGATCACAAAAGTAAGTTAATTAGGATAATAAAATTTTAGATGACCTTAAAATGTTTATCTTTTGTTTCAGTGCTGTTTTTATAATAAATAAAAACCAAGAGGAAAAAATAAATGATATTAAAATAATGGTAAGAAGCTATTTTTTCCAAGAATAGTAGAATTTTAACAATCTATAAAGCTAGATATTAAGTATAATGGGTACTATTTATCCATTATTCTATTTTTTAAATTTTTGTTTGAACCTATAATAAGATTTTTTTGAAGAAACTATAATCATGAAATATAATAAAGATTTTTAAAAAGCAAATGTAAAAGCATATGCTGATTTGCTCTTTATGAATGATACAAATTATTAAATTATCACATGTTTGCTCACACTATGGACATCTATTATGCATCAATTATTTTTTTTAAAAAAGCTAGGAAAAAAACCAGTAAATGTAAAAACAGACAAGTTTCCTTCATCTAACAAGTAGTTCCTGGCTTTACTCACTAAAAAAACATGTATTTGAGGCTATTTATTCACTCGAGCAGTTTGGTTTTCCACAGTTCATGCCAGCACCTCACTTCCATAGTTCAAAAACAAAGAATTTATAGATTATCATTGGACGATGGGAGAATGCTGTGAAAAATAGGTCAGTTTAAAGACATTCACCCAGAGGGGCTTGCCCTCAATATTTCCACTGTAATAACATTAAGATATGTAAACATATTCACATTTTATCCCCCTGGAGTTCTGTTCTAACCCAATTGTGCAAGCCACAAACTGAGAGTTACCCTGTGCCTCCTCCCCTCACAGCCCACAGTTCATGTCCACAGATGTCTGAGGCCACCCATTTCTACCATATAAGAAAATAGCTCCCATACCAGGTACTGTTGCAATCACATGTACAAACTCATTTAATACAAACAATTTCATTTTACAGAGAAGAAGACTAAGTTAAGAAATTGCCTGAAAAAGTAAACTAGTAAGTGGCAGAACTGGGATGTGAACCCAGTCAGGCAGCTCCAAATTCCATGCATGGAACCACTTGTGTTGTTTCCACTCTGTTGCTATTCTAGGCATTGCTATAATGAATAACCTTGTAAAAATATCACTTCCCGTTTGTACAAGGACATCTGTAGGATGTATCCCAAGAGGTGGTTTCATTAAATATTTAATTGCATTTTTTGTTGCTTTTGTCTGAACAGACTATAGCTCCTTGCGGGCCGGGAACTCACTTTTCTTGTTCACCCACTATCTGGCACATAACAGAGATGCATAAATGCTTTATTCCTTCCTTCTTTTACTTATTCAACAAATATTTACTGAACATCCATTGTGTGCTAGGCACTGTTCTGGGTGCTGGACAATATATTGGTGAACCAATTGGGGAAAATGTCCAGTTCTCATGAATGTAACATACTAATGTAGGATCCAGAGGCAATTGACAAATAAGAAAATCTGTGCTGTGTTACAAGATGATAAATACTAAAGAAAAATAAGGCAAAGAAAGTCGGGATGCAGGAGATAACATTTTAAATAAACAGTTGTCAAACAAATAAAACCTTCTGATGAGGATGTTTACCTTAGTAGCAAAAGTAATTGTGAAAATTTTTTAAAACTCAAGTGTCCATTAAGGAGGAGTAGGCAGTCTGGCTACCTCGGTCACCGAACTGTTTTGAGGTTGATAAGCGTAAAGCGGAAAGAGCAGTGCCTGGGAACCAACTTCCACCTGTAACACTCTTTCATGGGAAACTAGGCTAATTCCCTAAAACAAACTTGCATGTCAATGAAATACACTGTTTATAAATGTAAAACTACCTACACAGACACGAACACATTAACAATCGATGAAGAGTGTCTCACTCCTTTATTCCTGAACTTAAAACTTTTGTACAAACTTTCAACTGAAATTATTTTGACCCTGAAGATCACATAAAAAAGAAAACATCTCCTTTAACATGTATTTTATTTCAAGACAGAGAGATAGAATATTCTGGCTCTGAGGATTCAGCAAAATGTAATTCAATGTCAATTACTGAATCTCTTCAAACCGAAGCATTTGTCAGCAGAAAAATCCCTTAGGTTAACTATAGACCTTAAAATCAGAAATGATGTAGGTAAATTACTGCACATCTACTTCTAAAAATGACATTTATAGGTGTTAATGTTTATATAGTAACATCAGGAATAAAGTTAATCATAATAATAGGCAATTGATTTCTATTTCATAAAAACATACATTTACAGGATATTTGCTTAAGTACTCACACAAGTTTGATTTGAACAATTCCAATCTGCTTAGAAAACCTTGCTAATGTAATTTAAATAAGTTCTATAACACTAAAGATGTGACCCTACAGGATAACATAGCATGGACGCGTCATGCCCTGCTCTGGTGAGGCACATTGTGCAGTCTTGTGCTTTGGAGTCAGTACCTTTAGCATTCTGTTTATGCATTAAATGCAGCCAATGCTTTGTTCCTTAAACCTGAGAATTCGCTGGTCAGTCATTACAATGAATGCTCAGAATACAAATTATAGTTCAATTCCACTTGTTTTTTGTTTGCTTGTTTGTTTTTTAGAATTTTTCTAAATTTGCCCTTTTCTGATAAATTATTCAGCTTTTATTTCATGCTGGTCATTAAAGTGTTCAGCTACTTTGACCCTTGGGACAGGTTTTGATTTAAAATAATCCAACCCTCCCAAATTCCCTGCAGCGTGGGTGTTTGTACCTGCCAGGAGGCAGAGGTAGGCAGACAAGAATAGACCCTGATCTCACTCCAGACCTCACTGGAACCCTATGGAAAACCAAGGCAAGCACTCACCGGGTTCCTGAGTCTGCAGAGCCAATTCTTCCACAGCAGGGCTTGGAACTGGCGCCCGGCGTGCCCCATGCCTGCTGCTCCCTGCTCTCAGTCAGGAAGCCTGCCTGTAAGGATGGTGCTTATATCTGCTGGCTCAAGTGAAGGCATGTTGCCTATTAGTCAATTCTAACAAAAGTGAGTGATGCAAGAGAGATTACTGGTGACTGAATAAAACAGGCATCAGATGTCCCCTCTTGTTCTGCATCTGCTAAGAAATCTTTTCACTAGCCATTCAGTGTTTCGAGAGGGTTGAGTTACAGAAAGCTGCCTTCAGGGACTTTTTTGGGCATACACACATACACACAGAGGGCGCCCTCCCTTTCCAAGAACCCACACAACTGATCTGTGCGACAAGAAGTAATGCCCACATTTATCATTTACTTCCCTTTTTTTCTGGATATTAATTAGATGGAATTTTCCATTATTCTTCTGAAGCATTGGTTATTATACTGATTTGCCAAAATATTTCAATTTTGGTGGTCCCATGGCAGAGAGTTTCACGGGAAGGAGATGGAAGCAGTGCAGGTGTCTGGGGGAGTTTGGGGAATAGGTGAATCAAGTTCCACTCTGCTACTGCATCTACACTTCATACTTCTCCTTCACCCATTTCCTCCAAAGGGATCAGGATCTACGTTTCAGATGGTATCAGGTGCAGACGTGACTGGACTCAGCAAGTGGCCTGTGGATTACCTCTGAGTCCTGTTTGATTACTGCACACTTGCACTTTCTAAGTGGCATGATGGATTCAGCTCACCAGCTGGTGGCTTCATAGTCCTGGAAGCCAGGCCCTCTTGAGTTCCTGTTGCCCCCAGTTGTGGTCAGAAGAATTTCAGGCAATGCAGTCTTGTGGTCTTCTATTTCATAAAGCAATTTTCACAAGCTGTGAATGCTCGATAAATGACTTTTGCAATAGTAAACAGGGAATACAGGCTTCAGCAAAGAAATTGACTCAATTATTTTGTAAACTTATTTTTTAAAGGAGGCCTATTTTATTTTATTTTTTGTTACATGACTGGCAGCACTAGAGTGAAGGCCATTACTTAGCAGGATGGGGCCCAGCACCCATAAGTGGATTTGCCTGATCCCCATATGATGTTCTCCCTTGACCTGTGACTTCTCAAAGGTCTTTGGGGTTGCCTAAGTATTGCTACTCTGGTGCTCTTTGCAGATAACTTCTAGAACACCTTACATTACAAGTAATTGTCCTAATTTTTAAAAATCTAGTATAAGAGAAAGCCTCCAACCATAAGGTTTTTCTCATTTTATGTTCATAACAGCCAGTTTTTATGCTGCTATGCCAGAATTATGCCAGAGGCATAAAAATTATTTCATCCATTGCTTTCATGGAACAATGCTGTGTTAGGGTTTTCAGATAAACAGAACCAATGGGTGATTGATTGACTGACTGATTGATTATAAGGAATAGGCTCACACAATCATGGAGGTGGGCAAGTCCTAAGATCTGCAAGGTGAATTAGCAAGTCAGAGACCCAGGGAAGCCAATGATATAGTTCCAGTCCAAGTCCAAAGATCTGAGAACTGGAGAGCCAATAATATAGTTGCCATCCAAAGACTGGGAAACTTGAGATCCAGGACAAGCTGATATATCCATAAAGTCTGAAGGCAGAAAACAAACAAAAAAAGCCAGTGTCCCAGTATGAAGGCCATCAGAAAAAAATAATTATCTAACTTAGGGGAAGGTCAGCCTTTTTGTTCTATTTAGGTCTTCAACTAATTGGATGAGACCCACTCACACTAGGGAGGACCATCTGCTGAATTCGGTCTACCTGCTTAAATGTTAATGTCATTTATAAACACCCTCACAGAAACTCCCAGAATACTTCTATCTTTTGTTCTATGTTTCAGCCAAGAAAACAAACAAGCAATTAGAGTCCTTCCTAACTCCTTGAGCTGCCACATGAAATGTAGAATCACTGCTTAGTGAGCCCATATTAGCAAATTTGGCCTGATCCAAATTATGTTCCTTCCATCATTATCCCACACCTTTATATCCATTTCCACACATATTCCCCAGATTTCTGCTTGTATACATTAGAAAACTCAAATTGTCCATTTGATGTATAGCACACTTCCTCATGGCTTATACTTTATATCTCACCTTTGGGTGCTGCTGGGACTTGAATCTAGTTATAGGTCTGAAATGAAAGAGGAATGGTGGTGGGGGTGGATTCTGAGGAGAAGCAGAAGTGCCTTGCATGGCAACTGCCTCCTGTTAGGACATTACAGTTTTCTTAGGCAAGGCAGGGTTAATCCCCTCAGACATGGGGTAAGAGACTGCTTCCACTAGGACTGGAGAAACTGCCTGCACTTGGGTGTGGAGACTTCTTCCATGTAATAAGGAAGATATTATTTAGGGGCTCAGTGTCTCCAGCTTCATCAGGGTCTTCCCACATGTCTCCATTCCAACTTTTAGCACCCTATTCCCTCCAAGTCAATGCCTTTACTTTGATAGTAGACTCCCTGCAGTACTAGCAGTCAACTTGCATTGTGATTCAGCCACTTGCAAGATGAAATTCTGGTTTGATTTTCTGCAATCTCAGCTCTGCAGCTACAGGAAATAAGTGTCTATTTCAGGGACATGCATAGAAACTTTCAGGTCATTTATGCAGCACTTCAGCTGGGAATTTGACCCCTAAGGTCATCCTTTTCTTTTTCCACTTTGTCTAGCAACATTAGAAACAACCAGTCAACCTCATTTTACTCATGAGTTTGATAAAAATGTTGGAAAGTATCAAATACAAGATCATCCAGACCCTTGCTTCTTGTAAGTGTTTGATTAGGAGCATCTAATGGTGATATTTTGTGCATCTCTATTGCCACATCATGTCATGGACCACCAATTTTCTCTTTACTAGAAATAGAGTCAATAGTCTTTAAATCTAATCAGATTAGAGATTCAATCACAGAAACCTCAGAACCTATTTAAGTTTATCCTTAAGATTCTCTTCCTCCAGAATTGTTCTTAGTACCAAAATCTGTATTACGGTTCTCCAGAGAAACAGAATCATATGTATATTTATATATATAAAGAAATTTACTATAAGGAATTGGCATAAGCAGTTATGGAACTGGGCAAGTCCCAAGATCTGCAGATGAGTCAGCAACTTGGAGATAATGGTGTAGCAAGTTGGAGAGACAATGGTTTAGCTCTAGTCAGAGTCTAAAAGTCTGAGAACCAGGAAAGCAAACGATGCCATCTAAAGGCCAGCATGTTTAATATCCACAAAGAGCCAATGCTTCAGTTCAAGTCTGAAGGCAGAAAAAAAGTTGAGTTCGCAATTTAAAGATCATTAGGCAGGAGGAATTCTCTTACTCGGGGAGGATCAGCCTTTTTGTTTTATTCAGGCCTTCAACTGATTGGATGATGCTGACCTACATTAGGGAGGGCAGTCTGCTATATTCAGTCTACAAAATCAAATGTTAATCTCATCCAAAATACACCAACAGACAAACCCAGAATAATATTTGACCATATATTTAGAAATCCTGTGGCCCAGCCAAGTTGACACAAAATTCATCATCAGAAATGCTATGAGTTTGGTATTTGCATTTTTTTAAATTCTAGTTTGTGCTTTAGTTGCATATATTTAGTTGTAGGGAGATGGTAGCATTTTTGTTGGGTTTTGTTTTGTTTCTTTCCTGTTCTTTTTTTTAAATAATGTCAATTTTTATTTTAGATCCAGGAGTTACAGATGCAGGGTTGCTATCTGGGTGTATTACATGATGCTAAGCTTTGGTGTATGATTTCTCTCATCAACCAGACACTGTTCATAGTACTCAATAGTTAAGTTTTCCAACATTTGCTCCCTCTCTCCCTCCCCCTCAAGTAGTGCCAGTTTCTACCGTTGCCATCTTTATGCCTATAAGTACTGAATATTTAGCTCCCACTTATAAGTGAGAACATGTAGTATTTGGTTTTCTCTTCTTGCACTAATTTGTTTAGGATAATAGCCTTCAGTTGTATCCATGTTTCTGTGAAGGACATGATTTTATTCTTTTTTATGGCTGCGTACTACTCCGTGGTATATGTGTACTACATTTTCTTTATCTGTTTCACCATTGATGGGCATCTTGGTTTATCTCATGTCTTGCTATTGTGAATAGTGCTGCAATGAACATATAAGTGTGTCTTTTTGATAGAACAATTTATTTTCTTTTGGATGAATACCTAGTAATAAGATTGCTGGATTGAATGATAGTTCTGTTTTCAGTTATTTGAGAAATCTCCAAACTGCTTTCTACAGTAGCTGAACTAATTTACATTCCCACCAACGAACAGCCTATATGTGTTCCCTTTTCTCCAAGCCTGTCCTGCATCTGTTGTTTTTTGACTTTTTAATAATAGCCATTTTGACTGATGTGAATTGATATCTCATTGTGGTTTTTATTTGCATCACTCTGATGGTTAGTGATGTGGAGCACTGTTTAATATGTTTATTGGCCTTTCGTATGTCTCCTTTTGAGCAGTGTTTGTTCATGTATTTTGCCCACTTTACAATTTCTTTTTTACTTGTTCAGTTGTTCAAGTTTCTTATAGATTCTCTATATTAGACCTTTACCAGATGCATAGCTTGCAAATATTTTCTCCCATTCTGTAGGATGCCTATTTATTCAGTTGATAGCTTCTTTTGCTGTGCAAAATGTGTTTTGTCTAATTAAGCCCCACTTGTAAATTTTTTGGGGGGAGTCGCAGTCTCTTTTGAGGACTTAGTCATAAATTATTTCTGAAGGCCAATGTCCAGAATGGTGTTTCCTAGGTTTTCTTCTAGTATTATTATAGTTTGAGGTCTTACATTTAAATCTTTAATCTATCTTGAGTTAGTTTTTGTATATGGTGAAATGTGAGGGGCCAGTTATTTTCTTTGGTGTATGGCTAGTCAGGTATTGCAGGTGTATTCCAGTAGCATTTATGAATAGGGAGTCCTTTCCTCATTGCTAATTTTTGTTGACTTTGTCACAGATCAGATGGCTGTAGGTGTGCAGCTTTATTTCTGGTTCTCTATTTTTGTTTCATTGGTCTATGTGTCTGTTTTTG